GCAATCGGCGTCGCCCATGGACACCTGAAAGACTAGAGATGTTACAAGTGCGTTACCGGCTCATTGGGGACTTGGATTAAGGATTATTGGGATTCGGAGATTAGGGAGGGAGGTACTTTTTTGTTTTTTTTTTTAAGGGGGGAAAATCATCGAATGACTGCTCCCGCCTGGGTGAGGCGGAAGGGAGTGTCAGACTCTTACTGACTAAAAACCACCCCGTTCCTTCTCCTGCACGTCGAGCCGGAGCCCCGGTTACCCGTTAGGTTCTCCGCGACTCCGAATCGAGGGAGGTACTTAGGCCTCCGCTAACCTCACTCACACGATGAAACACGTTGTTTCACGTGGGTTTTCTGGTATCCGGTCCATTCGTGCCGAAGCATCTCACTTAAATCATCCAGTCTTTGTTATTCCCTGAAAAATACTGAAACTAAATCCTGGATGATGTACCGAAGCCCTTGTGTGGTGGACAGCGAGTCAATCTATCATTTTTACATCTTCAACTTTATTGTATTGACATAACGTTGAAAATACAATAAATAAACTTTCACTGTAACCCTTGGACATCCTCTAGTGTTCAAGTTGTCCATGGGTGACGCCGATTGCTTACCATCAGGTGATCCGTCTGCTCGTTTGCCCCCTATTCCACAAAAAATTACTAATACCGCGTTCGGTGATTCAAGAGTGAGTGTCAAACGCATAACATCACGCCTTTTATCCTCGAAGGGGTAGGCAGAGGTTCTCATTGGCAGAGGCACTTAATGCCACTGTAAAGTGTAACACCCACTTTCCACTATTTATGTTATGAGTCCCATGTAATAGGGGGTGACCCTATTGCCATATACCGGGCACATTTCCAGATTCCGTGCTACTACTTAATTTAAAAAAAAACCCGCAGTAATACTTTGACCGACCCGGGAATCGAACCCGAGACCCCTTGCCCGGCAGTTGCACTTGCGACCACTCGGCCAACGAGGCAGTCAAGAGTGTCAGACTCTTACTGACCAAACACAATTCCGTTCCTAGGTACTCCTGCTTATGCTAGCTAAGGAGGAGGCGGAGCGCGTGAGGGAACGAACCTCCTCACGACCCGGCCGTCGCGAGAGACACTCCGGGCGTCGGGGATCGCGAGACGATCTCCGGCCACCGTAAGCACGGGCCTGCGGACGGGGAGCATGGGTGACTCGCGCCCGACGGAACAGGCCCGAGCGTACGGGCGTCGCGTTCCGCGCGGCCTAAGGAGCCATCAGACCACCACAGATGGGGCCTAACAGGGCTGATGCCGATACGGAGCCGCGGAAGACTTAACGGGTTGCCGGGGCTCCGGCTCGAAGTGCAGAAGTAGGAACGGCGTGGTTTTTAGTCAGTAAGAATCTGACACTCCCTTCCGCCTGACCCGGGAGGGAGAAGTCATGGGATGATTTTCCCACTCAAAAAAAAAACGAAATCGCCTATTTCCACAATAACGTCATCATCAACAGGAAAATTTAATCTTTCCAACTTGTTCTTACGTTATCTGTAGATTTTTATCAAAATGTACCTACACACGTCATTGTATATTATATAGCTACTAATATAACACAGATACTGACTGTTATTTTATTTTCCTTGAAATCTTTATAGAACTACCAACCTACCTACTTTAGAACAACCGACTGCCGTGCAACGTGTCGCGGGTTCGATTCCCGCACGGAACAACACTTTGTGTGATCCACAAATTGTTGTTTCGGGTCTGGGTGTCATGTGTATGTGAACTTGTATGTTTGTAAACACACCCACGACACAGGAGATAAACCTAGTGTGGAGCAACGTTTAAAAAAAATGAATAAAAAAAACTTAATTCTTGTTCAGATTATAGGCATGACTGCCTCGTTGGCCAAGTGGTCGCAAGTGCGACTGCCGGGCAAGGGGTCTCGGGTCCGATTCCCGGGTCGGGCAAAGTATTACTGGGTTTAAAAAAAAATCTCAGTAGTAGCACGGAGTCTGGAATTGTGCCCGGTATATGGCAATAGGCTCACCCCCTATTACATGGGACTCATAACATAAATAGTGAAAAGTGGGTGGCTTAATGTGCACCTCTGCCTACCCCGTCGGGGATAAAAGGCGTGATGTTATGTATGTTATGTATATATTATAGGCAGAACTTGTAATATTGTTTTTTTTATGGCCTGAAACGGTATACGAGCAGACGGATCACCTGATGGTAAGCAATCGGCGTCGCCCATGGACACCTGGAACACCAGAAGCGTACCAACTGCGTTACCGGCCTTTTGGGAATTAGGAGTTTGAGGATTGTTGGGGATTCGGGGATTGGGGAGATTGGGGAAGGGGGGAGGGAGTTGGGCTATTATGCGAATGAGCGAGGATTTTAATAAATTGTGCAAAGATTTAGGACTCGATCCATTCACCATAATCCAGGTTGCGTGGGCGACTAATCTTTTTGCTGAATAGACGTAACATAACATAATATTACGCCTTTTAATTTTATTGCCGAAGGGATAGGCATAAGTCCACATAGCGGCACTAAATGCCTCGGTACAATGTAACACTCACTTTTCACTATTTATGTTATGAGTCCCATGTAATAGGGGGTGAGCCTATTGAGCTTATCTGGTACCGGTAGCCGGCTCGACCGGAGTGATACCACGGCCTCACAGAACCGAAGACCGACGTGAAACAACGCTTGTGTTGTGTTTCGCCGCGTGAGTGAGGTTACCTGAGGCCCAATTACCCCTCCCCCCTTTCCCAATCCCTGAATCTCCAACAATCCTCAAATTCCTAATCCCAAAAGACCAGTAACACACTTGTAACGCCTCTGGTGTTCCAGGTGTCCATAAGCGACGCCGACTGCTTAAAACCAGGCGATCCATCTCGTTTACAGGTTTGTCACATAAAAAAAAACGAAGTCGAAAATTATGTTGTGGCAGGTACTTAATAGATATCCTTCCTCGCTATGATTATATCGTTTTTAAATTATTTTGTCATTTTTATTTTCCAGTTCTCAGAGCACCGATCACATCAATTCTTGTGTTCTCATACTAAAGAGCTGCTGTTAGCCGATACGTCGCACGCCGTGACGTCACCCTGACCTCTTCCTTATCAGGCGGGATGACTAAGTTTGAGCTTATTAAAGAATTCATTATGAATCGAGAATTTACATTAACTTAAAGTAGGTATTTTGGCATTTTAGCAGTCATCGAAAATATGGTTGGTTTGCTTGTATAAGTAATTTGTGAGGACCGACGACGTATGGGATACCAAAATATAAATATTATAACGATATTTGCCGCCGTGACGACATGGCCCTTGCAAAAAAAGAACAGACGAAACATGCTTGTTGTGATTGCATATTTCGTCTGCTCTTGCAAAACATTTAAGTACAGTTTTGTCTGACGAAGTTTCGGACGTTAGCCTTTATTCTATAGTAGGGGCAGTGTGTCATTGTATTGTATTCACCGATAGCTCGGTGAAGAAGATGCTTGTGATTGTGACCAGCGCTAGTTTGACGACGGCAATGCGCTCGAGTCGTCTCAACATTCCATGAATGTGTCGGCTCGGTCGTCGTCGGGTCTTCTCTGCGTCCCCGGCTGTGGGCGCGAGGTCGCGCGATCCAGGCCGATGCCTGTTTCGGCGGATGCGCTCACTGCCTGCTACAGCAGGCGAGGGGTTGGATTAGTCGGGCTCCTTGCGGGGCCCGATGCGGTGTCGAGTCCGGTGGTTTTGCTCCGTCGTGAGCCGCGCTCTAGCCGGGCAAGCCCAGCGAGCAGCAAGCTGTTGGCGGGGCATGGTCGTGTCCAGTGGGGGCGCCGCTAGGGGCCGCGCTCGAGCCGGGGGGAGCCCGGCGAGCGGCGGGCTGGTAGCAGCGAGTGCAATATTCCGGATTAGGCGAGCTGGCATCTTGCAGGCACGCTCTCGAGGCATGTAGCCGGGCCATTACTCGTAGTCATTAGCGGGTTGCGGCCGTTAACGATTTCTTCACAGTTCGGATCGAGCGCGCGATTCTCCTCCACCAAGTAACCGCTAGCATCCAGAGCGCTGTACGTCTCCTGTTCGGATCTAGAGCGCGGTAGTCTTCGACGAAGTAGGCGCTAGCGTCACGCGCTGTGCGGCTCTCCCTCATCGGTTTTTGTAGATTCATAAAACTCATCTCTTTTATCATACTACATCAAGCTTCAGCTGCCGAGATTCATTTTTGTGGCCACTGTTGGCGGCGAGCATGGGTAGCTCGCCGCCCGAGACCAGCGGTACGACGCATTGCGATCCACGCGCGCCTCATAGAGCCACAGATGGACTTGGAGCTGTAGATGACCTATCGCTTCACCCAGGGCGGGACGCATTGGATGATTTTTCCTCCTAAAGTTATAGGGATCAAAGATACAGCTGAACATTTTCGACAAAACTGAATTTCAGCTTGAATCCTATGGCCAACAGGGAGTAACGATCTGTCGAATCGGTAAAATTAAAACCCTACCGCAGCTATACCGCCTGGCGGACTAAGTGTCGGAATATATTGTGTAAAAATTATTTATACTTATGTTTATCCGTATGTAAACTTTATATGTGCGATGTAGGATTTGTAACTTGGTCTGTTGTATTGCGTCGTCGATCGTCTATGTGCGTCATGTTATTCGTCGCTACACGTTTTATGTTCGAGTACAATCTCATTACTTTCATTAATCTCGCGATATCGCGCTTATTTTTCGCCTGAGATTGCATATAATGTGATGTTAGACAGTAAAATTACATATTTCATTTAAAGTGACATCTCTGTTCGTAGGAAGAAGTGTCGAAATCTCTTACACTAAAGTAGTTCCATGTAAATCCGATAGATGGCGTTGATTACTAATATTTGAATATCTCGAAAGAGCTGTGAATGACTGTTCCACGCGGACGAAGTCGCGGCCTCGCGGGCACAGTTAGTACGAAATAAAACAAAGGAAATATTATTAAAAAAACACTTTAATAATTCAGTAAGTTATACAAAGTTACGATACGAATGCATATTAGGGGATGTTGGCGAGATAATCTTTAACATGCGCTGGTTCAAGCCGTCTGAAGCCTGAAGCATCGCATATGCCGACCTCTATGTTGTCTGCTGTCATCTGGCCCTCGAACCCTTCTTTGAGAGTCAGGATCGCTGTGTGGACCGCATCATCAAGTTCTAGTTCTTCTGTGTATCTGCAAAAGGGCGAAAATAAATTACTATAAGACTAATACAAAACATCCTTACTAATAATATTATAAATCGGAAAGTGAGTTTGTTTGTTTGTTCCGCTTTCACGCCGAAACTACTAAACCGATTGCTTTGAATTTTTGCAGACGTAAAGTTAGAAGTCCGGATTAAATAATAGGATACTTTTTATCCCGGAAAAATTGATATTCCCGAGGGAAAACCAAAGTATAGATGGCGCTGTGTGTATTGGTATATGTCAAACAGGCTACTTTTTATCGTTTTGTGACGCGAGCGAAGCCGCAGGTAAAAGCTAGTAGTATAATATACAGTCGCTATCCGCCGCCTGTCTGTCCCTATGTATGCTTAAATCGTTAAAACTACGCAACGGATTTTAATGCGGTTTTTTTATACATAGAGTGATTCTTAAGGAAGGTTTATATGTATAGTACATGCATTTTATTGCACCCGTGCGAAGCCGGGGCGGGTCGCTAGTAAGGACTAAGGCCCATAGCACGCGGTGTATTTTTATACGCAGAGGAAACGCGCGTATTAGAACTACGCTGTGTTGTGTTTCTATTGATGATACGCGTGATATAGGAGTATACAAGGTGTAGTTTTGAAACCGTGGCATTTCTCGGGGGCATGTCACAGAAGTCATGAATATATGAGAAAGTTTTGGGCGTCGACGACGACGAACACCTGACGGGAAATACCTCTTCGACAATTACATGGCGTGATGTTTTGATAATGTACTATGAGGTCGTATGCGCTTTCGAAGTTTGCTTTTTGCAATGGTTCACCAGGTATTTATTGTTTTAAACATTTTATTTGTTTGTAAAACTATTGTATTACCGAGACAGAACCATTTTACTTCGGGACGATAACGAAATAGATTTCATGGTGTGTAACTATTATATTGTGTGTTGCCATTTTTTATGGCATAAGCTGCTAAACGAGCAGACGGATCACCTGATGGTAAGCAATCGGCGTCGCCCATGGACACCTGGAACACCAGAGGCGTTACAAGTGCGTTACCGGCCTTCTGGGGATTAGGAGTTTGAGGATCGTTGGGGATTCAGGATTTGGGGAGATTGGGGAAAGGGAACCCTCCCCTGGGCCTCAATTGGGCCTCCGGTAACCTCACTCACACGACGAAATACAACGCAAGCGTTGCTTCACGTCGGTTTTCTGCTCGGCCGTGGTATCACTCCGGTCGAGCCGGCCCATGGCTCTCCCACACTTAACCCCTTGAGCGTCCTTATGAGCACCCGGTGGATCATAAGAGAAAATGCTCCATGCTGCTTTCTCTTTTATAAAATCTATTATTAATGTTTTGTTTTTATTTTGACTGTATTTTTTATTTCTATTGTAATGATCCTTGTTTTCGTGTGCCAATGGCCAAATAAATGCATTTTCTTTCTTTCTTTCTTACTTTCTCCAAATGTCACGTGTGCACCCGTTGGATCATAAGGACCGCGGACGCTCGACGGGTTAAATGATGAGGAGGATGCCGATATCATCGTCATAACATCACGCCTTTTATCCCCGAAGGGGTAGGCAGAGGTGCACATTATGCCACTGTATAATGTAACACCCACTTTTCACTATTTATGTTATGAGTCCCATGTAATAGGGGGTGAGCCTATTACCATATACCGGGCACAATTTCAGACTCCATACTACTACTGAGATTTTTTAAAAAACTCAGTAATACTTTACCCGACGAGTCGCGCTTGCGACCACTCGGCCAACGAGGCAGTCATAGGATGACGATAGTAACATTGTTCGGGGTTGGGGTGAGTTCAAGATAAACTCTAGGATGTAGAATGAAAGATATATTTCGATACTAATGAGATAACTACTAAGTCTAATGAGGTGAATGAGATGAGATTGAGTAGCGTCCGTATTCACAAACGTACTGAACGTACTGAGCGTTTTTACCTAAGTAATACATAATATATTCATGGCATATTGCGGTGTGTCGCAATGGGGTAGACGACTAATTTTTATTTTAATGTCCGTCTGATAGATTATTTAAAAACATTAGACACGTATTTTTTATTTTCTCACAGAAACGAATAGTTTCGAAGATATATTGATTTGAAATGTCGCGTGACGTCACTTCTCAGTACTACTAAGGAATGACGATTTATCCCCCACTCCTAAACTTTGATTCGTTTTATCTAAGTATTGTTTTATTATACGACAAAATAAAAAAATACGCGTCTAATATTTTTTCATTACCTAACTTACGGACTAATTATATTTTTAATTTTCATACCCTGTCATCATCCCCATTACGGTGACATGATTAGTATACTTAGCATATTACAATTATTTGTTCGGTGATTGACCCGAACAAACATACATACCTCTTTTCTAAGAAAGTTTTGCCGTTATTATAGTTTTTGCCCATAGCGGTTGCTTTCCACGCGAAGTAGGCGCCGGACGGGTCGCACTGGAACAGGTACGGTCTGTCGTTGTCCCAGCCACAGATCAGGAGGGACACGCCGAAGGGACGGACACCACTGTGGAGTTACAGAAGCACTGTTATTTACTGAAAATGTAGTTTTTTATTATATTGGTGGATTAATGATTTAGTCATCATATTTTTATTTATTTATTTATATATGCTTTATTGTACACATTTATGTAGTTTAAAACAAACAATTCAAGTAAATATGCGTACAATGGGCGGTCTTATCACACAATGGTGATTTCTTCCAGACAACCTTTGGATGGAAATATTTGTAAGAAACCAGACAAGGAGTAGTTACGTGTACAATAAAATAAAATATAAAAAAAGACAAAATAAAAATGCCTACAATACAACGTACAATAGATATAATATACTAGCAACATATAAAAAGAAATACAAAAAAAAAAGTACTTTATTTTTTAATTTTATCTTTACAAATCGATAGTGTTTCATGGACCAGTTCGAACCTCCAAGGGATTAAAACGACTAAAATTTAACGGTGTAGGTATATTAAGACTTTGACCGCCAATAAAAAACTGTTGAAGGTAAATCTTCCGCTAACGCCGGTCACCGGTTACCCCCATGGCGTTTAACGTGTTAATGTATTAGGAATGTCGTGATTGCCCGGAGGTTTAAGACGCTCGCTTCTCATGCATGAGGGTGCTAGTTTGTAAACCTACCAACGGCAAGTACCAATGTGACTTTTTCCGAGTTATAAGTACTTTCTAAGATTATCTAGACACCACTGACAAACGGTGAAGGAAAACATCGTGAGGAAACCTGGACTTATAATTTCTAATTATAAGTTTGAAATCGCCAACCTTTTTTTTAGAAAAACCGTTGCCCCACATTAGTATTATCTCCTATGTCGTGTGTGCGTTTACAAAGATACAAGTTTACATACACATGACACCCAGACTCGGAACAACAATTTGTGGATCACATAAAGAGTTGCTCCGTGCGGGCAACGAACCCACTACATGTTGCGCGGCAGCCGGTTGCCCAGCCACCGCACCAACCGTGCAGTCAACTAACAACTAGAGTTTTAACTTCAAACGACCTTCAAACCTTCAAGAAAAGAGCGTATTCCTTTTTAAAAGGCCGGCAACGCATCTGTGACTCCTCTGGTGTTGCGGGTGTCCATGGGCGGCGCTGATCGCTTACCATCAGGTGATCCGTCTGCTCGTTTGCCTCCTATTCCATAAAAAAACACTCACCCAGACTGAGTATACTCCTGCATGACAGTAGCTACCCGCTGCACCAGCTGAGCAGTAGGGATAGGCTCATGGTACATCAAGTAATACTGCTGGGCCATCTTCCGGGCCTGGGTGACGAGGAGACGGTAGTCCGGTCCCATGCCGGAGTAGACCATACCTGGAATTAGGGGAAGGGTTACATCAGTCATAGTTTTAAATAATATATATAATAGGGTAGTTTCCTAAATTTTATTTTAATGTCCGTCTGGTACTTTAATTTAAAACCTTAGACATGTATTTTTTCTTTTCTTACAAAAATACTTTCGACGATATTCATAATACATAACATCACGCCTTTTATCCTCGAAGGGGTAGGCAGAGATGCACATTATACCACTGTACAATGTAACACCCACTTTTCACTATTTATGTTACGAGTCCCATGTAATAGGGTGTGAGCTTATTGCCAAGAATAAGAATTATTTTTTTTAAAAGAGTAACATTGGATTTTCTCGTCCGTTTTTCTCCATTCAAAACTACATTTTGGAATGAGCGCCTAGTTTCACTAAGAGACAGACAGACAGACAGACAGACAGGCAAACAATTCAATTTTTTGTCGTTTCAGAAGTGCCAAATTGAATATTAATTCAAAATTCAAATTCAAATTTCAATTCAAATTCAAATTCATTTATTCAATTGTGAACATAGGTAACATTAGGGTCTTAAATAACAATTTTAAACGCTATGTTGGCTTTTTCAGCATACAAAATTAGAATATAGTTGGAAACAAAGATTTGGATTGATTATTATTACTTAATGTCATTAGAATTATTAATTATTAGGTCACATAGGATTAAAAATTTAAATGTCACAATATTAAACAATCAGAATGTCAATAGTTAAATAAAAACAAGATAAAAATTATTAAACAAAATAAAATAAAAATACATCATATTTTGTCGTCTAAGTACTCAGTAACACTATAATATGCCTTAGAGATTAAAAACCTTTTTATTCTATTTTTAAAAACCTTCAAAGATTGTATATGTAGCAATTCGTTTGGCAAATGGTTGTATAATCTTGGGGCCATACAAAAAACGCTATTATTAAGAAAATGCGTTCTATTACTCGGGAAACATATGTGATTATTATAGCGTTTACTTTTCATTTTGCCAAACAGATTAAATTATTCTTTACAAATACTAACACTTCGTACATGTAGATACATGGTACCGTCAAAATATTTAAATTAATAAAGTACGGTCTACAGCTGTCGGTCTGGCTTAGTTTGCAAATAGCCCTGACACACCTCTTTTGAGATATGAATATCATTTCTTTGTAAGTTGAGTTGCCCAGAAGATTATCCCATACCGAAGAAGAGAAACAACGTGTCCGTGGTATGCAGTTATAAGTGTTCCGGCATTAGCAACCTTAGATAGCTTGAATAGTGCATACGAGAACTGATTAATTTTGGAGCTTATATATTCACTATGAGATCGCCACTTTAAGTTGCTCTCTATATGCAGTCCTAGAAATTTTGTGCACTGTACCTCTTGTATTTTGTGTCCTGAATAATTAATTAGAACATTAGTTATTAATTCCTTTCTATTTCTAAATGTCATTATATTAGTCTTAGTCAAATTTATCTTTAGATTGTTACTTGTCAACCAGTCAACAATAGTAATTAACATGTTGTTTATATCCTCTTCCAGAAGGTTTTGATTTTGTCCTTGGAAAAGGACTGTACTATCATCAGCAAATAATATTGTTGGATGCTGGGTAATATTCGGGAAATCATTTATATATATGATGAATAATAAAGGCCCCAACACACTACCCTGAGGTACACCGACGTTTATTTTTCTAAATTTCGACATGTATTTTATTTGTTTTTTTTTATTTTTACAAATTGTCGTAACTACTGTAGATTGACTTCGGTTAGATAGATATGATTTAATTAAATCCAGAGCAGTTCCTCTAACACCATATGCATTAAGCTTCTTCAAGAGGAGAGTATGATCTACGTGATCAAAGGCTTTAGTGAGATCCATGTATAAAGCACATGTTGGGATCCCCTTATCCACATTTGTCATAACTATTCTAAGAAGCCTGTAAATAGCAAGACTAATATTTTTTTTTTTCCTAAAACCAACTTGTTCTTCAGCAAATAGGTTGTAACACTCAAAAAAGGAATACAAATTGTTATATATAACCTTCTCAAATATTTTAGATAGGACTGGAACAAGTGCAATGGGTCGGTAACATGACATGTCCTTTAAGTTTCCTTTCTTAAACAATGGTTTTATAATTGTTTGTTTTAGTTTTTCTGGGAAAATTCCATTTAATATACATAGATTAATTATGTGACTTAATACCGGGGATATACTATTTGCCGCATGCTTTAAGGCGCTTTAATTAATTGCATATAAATTAAAAAAAAAGATTCTTAATCATAATGTTACAAATATTATTAACTAACTTCTACCAGACAGCTTTGTCCGCAGTGCTAAACCGGGTAACAAAGTAGCCCGTGTAATTCTACACCATTATCAACCCATATTGCAAATTTCATCTCTATCCCTTCAGCGGTTTTAACGTGATCACCCTAATATTATAACTTTGAAAGTTTTTTGTGTTTGGATGTTTGTCCGTCAATCACGCAGAAACTACTGAATGGATTTTGATGAAATTTGGTACAGGCAGTATTTTTTTTAAGTGGGAAAATCATCAAATGACTTCTATCTGGGTGAGGCGGGAGGGAGTGTTAGACTCTTACTGGCTAAAATCCACCCCGTTCCTACTTCTGCACATCAACCAGAGCCCTGGTAACCCGTTAAGTTCTTTGCCGCTCCGATAGAGGCAGAGTATGGATTGACTTAGGTGATAGAATACTTTTTATCCCGAATGCTCTTATTGGATAAAACAGAAATACACGGACAAAGCCGTGGGAGACAGCTAGATGAATAAATACACTGCCACACAAACTTAAATTTTTGGATTTATAATATTAGAAGACATACATCATTAATCGACATCAAGATGATGGTTCGTGAGTTTGCCTGTATGTATGTTACTTAATACATACATACAATATATAAGTACATTTTTCATAAGCTTTACAAGATAAATTGAACAAAACAACTACTTATAACTAGTAATAAAAAATCTGCGATACATAATCTAAATAAAATTAGCGTCTTCCTCTCTTCTATGTTGCCGTGCCCTACAGGGTCCATACTGTACTATATTATTATGTAACACCTTATAAACATATGGAGTGCAATAAACGTATTGAGTATTAATCAAAGTCAAAACGTCTGAAGGAATAGTGTTGAAATTTGAACTGACCTTGTCATACTATATTGTTTATAGTATAGAGGCTGTATTCATTAATGTTGTGTGGTGGCAGGATGGCAACGAGCCGAGCCACTACGCCAACCATGAAGTTTGATCTAATAAGGAGTATTTAATCAATATAATCTGACTTACCAATGTGGCCAGTGATCATTTCCACCTTATTGACGCTGTGCTCATCATACAGAATGCTCTTATGCTTGTTTTCTGTGGCAATCACAACTCCATTGGATGCTGGAAGAAAGCAGAGATGAAAGTCAAAATGTATATTTTAAAATCAACTTTTTATTGTGTAAATATCAATACTAAGCAGTTATAACAAGAAGTGATGTTGATTGAGGCAACTTTGCTTAGTTTTAGTGTGAATTTAAGAGCAGGCACGAAAATATATGCATTTTTATTCGTAATGATCAAGCATAATTGAAAGACGCTAATATAACCTCTTTTAAAAACAAAACTTACCTTTGATACCGACGGACGTGCCGCCAGCGGCTACGGCAGCTAAAGCATATTCGATTTGAACTAATTTCCCTGAAGGGCTGTGGAAAAATAAAGAATTCTCATTACAATTACACCAAACATACACAGTAAGATTGAACCACTAAAAACCTTGGAATTAATGTGAAACTAAGCACACAAATATATTTATTCGGCAGAAATAATAACAATAATGGTAATTTAAACATTTTTAAAGCACATACACACGTAAATAAATTATTTTTTACCTAAAAGTGGTGAGAGAGAAACTGTAACGTTCGGACGCCATGATTACAAAGCAGATTGTCAAAATTTTGCTCTGTCATGTTGTCAGCCCTGGAAAATTGTCAAAATTATCACGATCGTTCGGATAGCTTTACAGAAAATGTTTCTACCAAAAAATTTCTATCAACATAATAGTTTTTACTACTGCAGTTTGACTGTGTAAATACTGTTTTATTATTTATAAACGAACATTTAATTAAAACCATATTTGATGCTATAAATTCATAAACTAAAAGCCTGGATATTCAATCTATCCTACTTTGGAGATATTGATCGAAATAGCCGACGCCGCCTTCTGATTGGTCGAGAAACGGAGCAATCAAAACGGCGGCTGTACGCTCAATAATTTGATTGACGTCCTGAAAAATTTATGTTTCAGTCGGTTCAGTACTGCGAGAGCTATTTATACTTTCCAATGTCGGACTGAAAACTAGGGAAAAAATTTGTGTTTGAGTGCTATGTGTGATGGTGTTACAACCTATTGATTTGCGCAGTTCGACGGGTGTGCTATTAAATTCCGAAACGATGTCGGAAGGGACATTAGAAAGAAATCGCGCTGAAAAAGCTCTCATTATAACAAATAAAACACCGACTCACTGCCAGTTCTTCAAGAATTCTGGGGTAAAAAATTACTCTGATAAAAATGGCAATGAAGTTCCTAAATCAGCTAACAAAAATAGAAAGACATTCGCGTTTTGGACACTTGTGTTTTTAATATTTCTTTTCGGTTTGGGCAATTTGATTCTAACATTATCAATGCTGTTCGTGCTTCGACTGGGCCACGGTAAGTTGTTTATTATTTTTTAGTATAATAATGTTTACATTTTACTAAATACGTCCTAATAGCCCTAATGTACCTACCAATAGGTAGCCCCAATATACATATATCCTGTATTCTAGAATAGTCTACCTATTACTAACATACACTTCTATATTCTAGAAAACCCGGTAGCGTAGGTATAGACCTACCCTTAGGTATAGACCTACCCTACCGGGTAGGTATAGTCTAGAATCTAGAACACTGGATCAATACCTGCGCGGTGCACTGCAATGCAGTTGTGCAGTGACCTAGATACAACTGGAACCTAACTTATTATTTTGTATCTTGTGTTTACTTTTTATTACTGGTCTATAAATTTAATGTAAAAAATAATAGGTACATTATTGTAAAATATCCGATTTTATGAAAAAAAAGTTGATTATTTGTCTATGTCTATTTAATGGATGATGAATATTTTAGTAATTATTTTTGCCGCCAAAAATGACTGACTTTTGTGCTTTTGTGTACTAACTAACTGTATTTTGAAGGTTTTGAGTAGAATATTTCAAAATAGTTTTATATTTATACTTATTATAAAGGTGCTATTGTCTATTTTATTTTTCGAATTTCTGTGGTTTTAACCTTATGCTCTGTGATACAATTAATTCCATAAAATAGTAAAAAAAATGAAATCGTGTTACCTACCCAGCCGCGCTACTACTACGCTTTTTAATCGCGCTACATTTTATTCCATGAAAATTAGACTCAGGACAAAACCGTAAGTGTAGCCCTTTGATTATAATAATATCTCTGTATCCGCTGGCCGCCTATATTCGGTTTCTTATTTCACGAGACCAGACCTTGCGGTTTTATTTTATATCAAGATAGCTTTTTATTCTCCGCGGGCTCGTGTCAGTGCTTTTGTCATTCAATTACCTACATTTTCTTTTTTTGGTCAATATTAATTATTGTAAAATTGTTTTTTTACATAAAGTACTTAAGAGTGGCCTCGCGGTTAAAAACCGCCGCGGTTCTGCGTTAGTGCGGCCGGGGCTTATTCTTATTCCAGAGATTATCATCTGTTGTGTAAAATTATGAATCTTCAGTTTTATGAGGAATATTGAATTTATTTCGATATAAGTAACTGGTACCTATATTTTTTTCTATAAATGTAATCAAGTAGGCATCTATCTACCTATCGGAAATTGGCTTGCAAAAATATCAAAGTAATGTGTAAATAATAAAAATTATAAAATGTTACTACTTAATATTTTTTTTATTTATGTCTATTTCTATTAACCTGAATGTTCTGGGGGCAAGGTAGTGAGTAATTCAGGAGTAATGACCAATATTCGAGGAAGAGAAGCAGTCCCAGGGCCGCTAACGGGGACCTGCCGCAAAACATAGCGGTAGGTCGAGGCCTGCCGGGTGTGGTGATTCCGTAAGGGGGTAAATCCCGGGCCACGGTTACAGGCAGTGGAGGAACACCGCGGTGGTTTAAGCCGGTAAGAGTCCGGCACGCACCCTCGCCATCCCCACGACGTGGGCAGTTCATGAGGATTTCCATCGCGATAGAAAGAAAAGGAATAGTGACCAACGTATTCTTTCTATCTTCTAGAGGTCAGCATTTTCTCCTGTGTCGTGGGTGCATTTACAAACAAGTTCACATACACATGACACCCAGACCCAAAACCACAATTTGTTTAACACACAAAGAGTTGTTTCGTGCGGGAATCGAACCCGCGATACGTTTCACGTCAGCCAGTTGCCCAGCCACCATATGCACTACCCAGTACGCTACCAAAGCAATGATGGAACTATCTCAAACCTACGGAACGGAAAAATTACATTCCTCATATCAGGTACTAAACTCAGGGGCCTAGCTTAATGGTCATCGCATTGCAGTAATTACAGCGATATAGGCAGACATAATGTGACTGTAGCCATGTGTGCCCAGCCTTTAAGTGTGGGAGAGCCATGCTTCGGCACGAATGGGCCGGCTCGACCGGACTGATACCACGGCCTCACAGAAAACCGACGTGAAGCAACGCTTGCGTTGTGTTTCGTCGTGTGAGTGAGGTTACCGGAGGCCCAATTACCCTCCCCTTCCCCAATCTCCCCAATTCCTGAATCCCCAACGATCTTCAAACTCCTAATTCCCAAAAGGCCGGTAACGCACTTGTAACTCCTCTGGTATTCCAGGTGTCGAAGGGCGACGCCGATTGCTTACCATCAGGTGATCCGTCTGCTCGTTTACCGGCTTATGCCATAAAAAAAGCACCCAAATATCAACGGGTTGCCTTAAGACTTAAGAATATGACAGATGTCCTTCGTGTCAATGTGTGTGTGTTCTGCGTGTAAGTCTATCTCTTGTAACGCCTCTGGTGCCACAGTCGTTGTTTCAATTGACTTAACCCGTCGAGTGTCCGCGTTCCTTATGATCCAACGGGTGCACACGTGACATTCGGAGAAAGATAGAAAGAATATGCATTTATTTGGCCATTGGCACACGAAAACAAGGATCATTACAATAGAAATAAAAATACAGTCAAAATAAAAACAAAACATTAATAATAGATTTTATAAAAGAGAAAGCAGCATGGAGCATTTTTTCTTATGATCCACCGGGTGCTCATAAGGACGCTCGATGGGTTAATGTCACTTAGATATAATAGAAGCACCAAAATGTCAGTGGTGTATTTATGTGTGCGTGTGTTACCACGTTACCAGACTTAAGAAAATGACAGATGTCCTTCGTGTCAATGTGTGTGTGTTCTGCTTGTAAGTCTATAGTAGTCATGTGCCACAGTCGTTGTTTCAAGAGACGATGTTCGCGTTTTGTTCAACGTCCTTAGTTCTGTACTTAATATATGCATAGATGCGCTTGTAGAACCTTGTTGCATAAAGTATTGATCGAGAGATAGGACGCTAGCCGGCGCAGCGCGGTGCGCGATGACCTTACCGTCTCAGAATCGATGCGCTGTGCTATATCTAGAAAACTAGGTCTTATCTGCATTTTTCTTTCTTTATGACCATTGTAAGCAATCGCAATTAAATATTCTCAGTAGTAGCACGGAGGGTGGACCTGAAACACCAGAGGCGTTACAAGTGCGTTACCGGCCTTTTGGGGATTAGGAGTTTGAGGATCGTTGGGGATTCAGAAATTGGGAAGATTTTTTTTTTTTTTTATAAAACGTTGCCCCACACTAGGATTATCTCCTGTGTCGTGGGTGCGTTTACAAACATACAAGGTGAACTTGTATGTTTGTAAACGCACATGACACCCAGACCCGAAACAACAGTTTGTATCGACAAACTGTTGTTCCGTGCGGGAATCAAACCCGCGACACGTTGCACGGCAGCCGGTTGCCCAGCCACCGCACCAACCGTGCAGTCAAGGTTGATTGGGGAAGGGGTGGGTAATTGGGCCTCCGGTAACCTCACTCACACGACGAAACACAACGCAAGCGTTGCTTCATATTGGTTTTCAGCCGGCCCATTCGTGCTGAAGCATGGCTCTCCCACACTTAAGGGAAACTTATAACATAAATAGTGAAAAGTGTGTGTTACATTGTACAGTGGCATATTGTGCACCTCTGCCTATCCCTTCGGGGATAAAAGGCGTGATGTTATGTTATGTAAGTAATCGCCGCCTATGGACATCCGCAACGCCAGAGGAGTTGCAATTGCGTTTGAGGATTGGGGGAATGTGATACGGATATGGAAGGAGGATCAGGCCTAAAAAAATATTACTGAATTTTATTATAGATTCAGGGAAGGGAACACACATTTGAATAAGTCACAGTTTTTTATTAAACTTGGTACACACATGCACAAATTCACATACATACACAATAGGCAGCACATTTTGAAAGCTAATACAATTGGTCCGCGCTACATGTCACACGCATTATTACTGCAAGACGCTACCCAGTACCTTTCGGAGCTGGAACTGGAAATTATATGTAAGTCGCAATTGTAATTATTATTTTTACAGGTTCATATCATTAACTTACTGTTTTATTAACAATTGAACAACTGAACAATTGAATAATGAATTTGATGAATTTGAATGAATTTATGTATCATTAACTTAATGTTTATTATTATTATTATTTTTGTGTCAAAAGATACAGACTTGGATGCAAAAATCGCTCCATGGCCGTCATCGTCTCGACTTAACCAACCCTATTGTTGACAAGATAGCGTCAAACGCATGGTTAAAGCGAGGCGAGCTGTTTCCAGAAATAATTTAACGATTCAATATTATATTTAGACACAAGTAAGAAGATCTCAAGTTGGCGCCCCTTATTGGCAGTACCCTTGGTAGTTATTATTAACTGTACTTATCGTATTTTGAGACTATGCCATTATATTTGAATACTTTCAATATTATATTTAGACACAGGTAAGAAGAACTCAAGTTGGCGCCCCTTATTGACTGAGTGGCGCCAGGGCAATCCTTTTTAAAGAGTTAAAAAGAATTGGCCCTAGCGCCCCCCATGTCATATTCATCGTTGCTGCAACACGTCACGCTTCAGAGCTGGCCCTGTTATTAAAGTTGTAACTAATATTTTATAGGTTTAACTTATTATTATTTGACGTATTTTGAAACTGCCATTATGTCCTAAGTATTATATTAAGGAACCAACAATCAAGAAGATTAGAAGCAAGACTGGGTGGCGCCAGGGCCAATCCTTTTTAAAGTTAAAAAGAATTGGTCCTAGCGTCCTCTATGTCACATTCATCGTTGTTACAACTACATGCCAAGATCGATTAACTATACATATTGTACCTAATGTGCATTGCTTTCAGACTTTTTTTTTTCTTAGCTGCTAACTAATGCTTGCTCCAGCTGACTAGTAGGCGCCGTTACCAATCCTTTATAAAGCTAAAATTAATTGGTAACCGCGCCTGCTATGTCGCAGTCATCGTTGCTGTAACATGTTGTTTATAATTGTGTACGTTGTATTTCTTTACATAACGCATTTAATTTTTATATGTACTCTACGAAAAATCTGCAG